AGCTGGGTGCGCTCCAGAGCTGGTAGGGCGAGTCGAAAGTCTGAGCACTCCACAGGAGCTGCAGGTCAAACTCAATCCCTCCCAGGTGCTCTGGAGTCATTAAGAAAGACTTGACATCTGGCAGGCTGTGGTGCTCCATGACGAAGAGCCCTGTGGGGAGGACGAGGAGGAGACAGGTCAGGCAGGGTGGAACCCTGGCACACACCCCAGCACCGAGTGGCTCCTCGGGCAAGAGGGACCTGTCATGCTGCCTGTGCTCAGGGCAGAGCTGTGCTGGACACTGACTTCTGCCTGGCAGCACCTCTGCCCTCACCTCTGAACTTGGCCTGTGTCTTGAACTCGATGACCAGGCGTCCGTCGTCGCGGATGTAGATCCTGATGATCTGCAGGCGCGCGGAGAGCACGCTGTCCGTCTGGATCCCTGCGAGGACACGCTCAGGGCACGGCCCAGCCACTCCCTGCCTCCCCCAGAGCCAGCTCAACACTCCCTCCACCACCCAAGGGCTGCCTAAGGCTCCTCAAGCATGAAGGAAGCTCCACACTCTGCCAGAGTCAGGAATGAGACTGCAGCTCCCACATGAGAACCACTGAGAAGTGGCCAAGAAATCAAACATCCCACAGGGAGCAACCTCTGCCTGGCTGTGGAGGCTCCGATGAAGCTCGAGCTCTTGTCCTGCAGCACTCTGCAGTGCTGACCGTGCCCAGGAGCAGAGGGGACATGGCAGCCTGCACACCCCTCCCCTCAGGCATCAGGACTGTGCTGGCACTGCAGGGACAGGACAAGAAGAAACTCCTCCTCCCACAGCCCCCAAGAACCTCGGGCTCACCTGTCCTCCAGAGAACTGTGTCGTAGAAGAAGGAGAACTCCATCTCTGTGTGATGCTCCAGGGAAGCCCAACCTCTTGGCGCCGTCACGTAGATGTAGGACACGTAGAGAGGGACGTGGACTGTCAGGAAGGACTGGGCAGAGTCTCGTACCTGGCAGCAAAACCCAGAAAAGAGGGTTCTACACCTTCCAGATGAAGTCAGAGGTGACTGATCGTTCTGTACATTTACAGAGAGGCACTTTAGACAAACCTGTGTTTTGATTGGGGCTCAGTGCTAAGGCCATTGCTGCTGGGACATAAAGGACACAGTTTCACCTCAAACTCCCCCAGTTTCCAAGTCTGAATGAAACCCAAGCAGTTCTGCTGGCTCAGGCCTCCCACAGCTCTGCACTCATTATCTGCAGAGTGCAGCTGCACCCCGTGAGCCCCAGGGAGCTCAGGGAGACATTCCAGACTGGCTGGTGCCAGGCCCCACGTGCTCCACTGGGCAGTTGTTCAGGCTCCTTCGGATTTGTGCAAATAACTGGAGCTATAAATGGAAAATTAATGAAGCACTCCAGGCTGGCAGGAATGAAAGGAGATGACCAATACACTCTGAATTTAATGCCAGAGCCCAAGGAAGATGAGACGCTCGCTGGAGTGGGATGCACATGGATAATCCAACCATGAGAGGGCAGTGAGACACATCTAACAGTGAAAGGCACTGAGAGAAGAACATTTTGGCTTTTGGCCTGCCAGTGTGTTAATCAAGAAATGACTTCAAAATCCCCACAACCTCTCTCTGCTGTGGAGTATGAACTGACCTCTCTGCTCTGTTCTCTGCTCATTTCTACTGGCTAAGAACAGGGTCAAAACTGCAAAAGAACAGAGCACAGCTGAGAATGTTTGGTATTCCCAGTATGGCCTGAGAGTAAAAACATGTCTTTTGCTGCTGCTCTGAAGATTAAGAGGATAAAACCTATGTTACACCAAGGAAACTAAATTAACTGAGTGCACACAGCACTGTTCTTTTCCAGGTGAAAGGGGGAAAAGCCACAGAGCAGAGCAGCAAACGCACGTGAGCACAAAGCCCAGAAACTGAGAGAGATGTGGGTTACATGGAAGTGCTCTCACCTGGAAGTCAGCAGTGACAGAGCCTCCACAGACATCAATTAATTCAGTCATGTCGTAGTAAGCATCAAAGGTCCAGATGCAGCTCTTGAGGTTGAGGTGCTGGTAGAGCTGGATCGTCTTCGGCTCCCTCACGGCAGGGTCCAGCTGGTAGGGGCGGTCGTAGCCCGGGCCCAGGACCATGCTGTCCTGGGGCACTTGGTCCAGGAACCCTGTCTCTGCATTGGGACAGCAGCACACTGAGCCCCTGGGCCCTAACAGCTTGAGGACAAGTACTGAGCTCTCCTGTCACACCTGGATCGTGGCACTCTATCCCCTCCTCACCCTGGAGTCAGACTGAATATACACAGGGCAAAATGTTGTAGGAATGGGGCAAGAAACCACGAAGTTAAACTTACGAACCCATTAATTAAAGGCTGAAGTTAACCTTTAAGAAATGCAGAGCAGCTCGAGTACGAAATGATCAGAATGAAGTGCAACCCCTGCCCACCATGGACCTCACTGTCCAGAGAGCCAGAGATACAATCTGTCTGTTTTCTTCAGCTCTGCCATTTACTTCAGCAGTGAATTTGCTTTGCTGCTGCTTGTTACCTCGTGGGAGACCCCAGTGACCCAACCCTGCAGATCCCTCTCCGATACCACAACAGAGATTCAAGAGCAATCACCGGCACGGTGTGAACCTACAGCCTCCTCAAACAGACACGTGCCTGAACATTCCCAGGCACGAAACCTCAGGAAGATTAATTATTATTTACATCATGTCAAGAGAGCCCAGAGGAAGACAAAGTCACCTTCTCTGCATTTCTTTCCTAGCTTGTTCAGGAAGCAAAGGTTGGTGGTAAAGGCTACCTGAGAGGCCTCTGAGGTCCCTGATGGTGACCAGGTTGGAGCAGACATGCTGGTGCCTGTAAATGGACTCAGAGAGCAGGAAGTGCAGGTTGTGCAGGGGCAGGGTGGAGATGAGGGGCAGCATGCCATCCTGGTGGGGAATCTGCACCGAGATGTGGATCCTGCAACAAACAGCAGATGAGAAGGGAGCAGCCCTGGCAGGCACAGAGCCTCACACCTTGCCCACAGCCCAGAGCAGCACAGCACAGCTGGCTGAGCCTGAGGAGCAGTTTCAGTTGGGTTTCCCCAGCTACACATCTGCTCCTTCAGCTGTCCCACCAACTCCCAGTTCCTGAGGGGAAGGACACCCCCCCAGCAGAGCAGGGTGCAAGGAAGAGAGTGTGAGCACCCTGAGCACCCCACAGTGCCTGCAGAGATTTCACACACACGTTCTCCTCGGGACCTCAGTACCCCCAGGGGGCTGTGAGGGGCTGCTCTCCTGCCCCAGCTCCAGGCTCACACCTGTTGGGATGCTCCTTGTGCTTGACATCCAGGTACTTGAGCGTGGCAATGAAGGACTGTGCCTGGAAGCCTCGGGCTGTCCCTGCCACCACAGGGGTGTGACAGATAGCACTGTCTGTGCCTATGGTCACCACATTGCTCCTCAGGGGGGTCCCCACATGGCCAGCCTTGTCCACAGCCTTGGCCACGCAGCGCACGTGGAAGCGCCGGCTGAAGTAAATGCTGTCCAGCACCTGAGCGAGTGAGGAGGGAGAAACAAGTGGAGCTTTCAGCAGGCTCAGGGAAGAACTGTGCCAAATTTTCTGAAGCCAAGCATATACAAAGAAACCTCCAAAGAGGCACCAATGCCTCAAGCAAGCCCCAAAGCTGAGGAGATTGTAGGTTTGGATCTCTGTGCTCCTGCAGCTCCACCGTGCCAGTACCTCCCCACGTACCTTGTGGTTGACACTGGTGAATGGGGTGTTGTCAGTGATGGTCTCAAAAGGTGACCTGGCTCCGTTGCCATCCGTGGGGGTTGCTACTTCCCAGCTGAACTGGATGGAAGACTGGTTGATGCCAGCCTCGCTGCAGCGCTCCCTCGTGACGGGGTACTTGGGGAAGTGAGGGTCACAGGGGGTGACACAGATGAGGGGGTAGCCTGGGGAAGGGGATTTCTTAGCACCGTCCTTGGCCACTTCTTCCACACGGTCGTAGTCAGCCAGGGTGACCACCTGTATGGATGTGAGACAGCAGCTCTCAGCTGGGGCTGAGGGAAGGGGTGGAAAGGACATCCCTCCCACCCCCTCACCACAGCTCTCCATGTCACTGCAGAAACCCCAGTGGGTGTTCAGGCTGTACTGGAAGGGCACAGAGTCCCAGCCCTGTGAGGTGACTCACCACGGGAGGTGCTGGCAGAATGAGGCTCCCTGCTGCCTCCTGGTCCAGGATAGTCACTGTGGCAGTGCTGGTGTCTCCCAGAACTGCTTCCACCGGATCATCCGGGCCCAGCACCAGAGAAAAGGACTCGTGCCATTCCCGGTCTTCGTTGGACATGATCTCCACCTTAAACACGATGTGGGTCACACCTGGGGGAGGGGTGCAAGGGAAACAGAGAGAACTTGATTCAGAGACTGCTCTGAAGCTCTCGTGAAAACCCTGTGCAGCTGCTCCAGGCTGTGACCACGCAGACATTACGATAAAACATAAATTATAAATTTTATTTCCACTCATTGCTGCTAATAATTTAGCTCTGTCCCCACAGGAGTCTCTTCTGAACATAAAACTCCAGCTATGACAACGGATCCGATCGACCCAGTGATAGATTTCCTAAGCTGATGCCATCTGAGTATTAAGAATGACTGTCTCGTGTGAGCGGTCTGGAGTTCTCGTGTGAGTGGTCTGGAGTAAAACCCTAGAATGCAGAGCACATTCCCATCCCTGCTCTGTCACAGCACTGTGCAGAGCTGTTTGGTGAGGGCTCCTTGGTCCAGCACACGGCCTGAGCCGCTGCACTGGGCCCTGAAAGCCTTACACCCTCTGAGGAGCACTTCACCCTCCCTACCAGATGCCAGTGCTGCTGCTTTGGGTCTGATCACCCTTTGTTTAACCATTTTGCACAACAAAATTACAGCAGCCAGAAGGGGAGGGGGAAAGGTCATTTCTAATGTCCCTGCTTCAGTATGGAGGTTGGACCAGATGACCCACCGTGGTCCCTTCCAGCCTAACTGATTCTGTGAGGAGAGAGAGGGGAAAAGTCTTGCCCCACACCTGTAACACTCTGAAGAGCTGGACAGGTGCTTCTTCCCACAAAGGCCAAGAGCAAACCTCAAATCAAATGTAAACCCCAAAATCTGAGCATACATTTTGCCTTCTTACAGCCCCCGGGAGCAGTTAGACCTGTGCTGTGTTGCAAACCTCACACACCAAGTGGCTTTTTCCAAACCTCCTCTCCATTTGCCTCCAATGTTCCTTTCTGACACACACAGAGTCCCTGGTGACACCCCCAGCTCTCACCCTCCCTGCAGGAGCCTTTACCTGGGCTGAATTTGAGCATTCTGCTCTTGGGGTAGTAGTCCAGCCCGGCCTGCGCCGAGCCGTCGCGGGTGCTGCAGCGCACCTTGGAGGTTCTGTTCTGGTCCCCTCTCCTCACCACCTTGATGTTCAGCACAGCTACACCCTCCGGGCCCGGGGGCTCCCGCACCTGGTACGCCGCCGCCTCGAACTCGATGGTGGGTGCTGAAGGGAGAGCAGGGAGGGAAAAGCCTCAGGTGTGCACTCAGCACCTGGGGTGAGCAAAGCTCAGACTCACCCTGCAGAGCAAGGGGCTGGATGTGAATTAGGGCAAAACCCACCAAAGCATTGGGCTACAGAGGATTGCAGAGCATTCTCCCACCCTGCCTCCCACTGAACCATGAGCTGAGCCAGGGCAGAGTCACATCAGATGTTAGGGAAATGTTTTCCCTGTCAGGGTGTTGAGGCACTGGGATATTGCTCAGGGAGGTGCTGGAGCCACCATCCCTGGAGGTATCTCCATCTGGTTTAGGGGTTCCAGCAGTGACAGGTTAATGGCTGGACCTGATGATCTCAGGTCTCCTCTAGCCTTGATTTGATGAGTCTATGAACCTCACTCAAATCCATGCCATGTGCTGGTGGTGCAGCCCTCACTGGCAGTCACACCAGAGAGACCTGGCATCCCCTTCTGCCCCACAAGTCTCTCCAGGCTGTGAGGCTGTGGAGGGAAGGGAGTATCTCCCAGGGGAAGCACAGCAACTCCCTGTGGAAGCGCAAGGGAACGGGAAACAGGACAAACTGTGGGTTCAAGCACTGTTATTGTACCCCTCCCTTCGGTCCATCCCAGAGCACAGCAGTGACCTGCACAGAGAGCTGTGACCTTGGCACTGAAGGCATCTAAACTGAACCCCAAACTACTGACGGGACTGTGCTGACTCCCTTGGAACCACAACAACATCCTTGCTGAGCATCCTTGCTTACCATCTTCATCATTGGTGACAGTTATCGTTGCCATGTCCATCTTCCCAATCCTAGCTCCACTCCAGTGGTTTCCAAGTGGGCTACCAAGATAGACCTGGAACTGCTCTTCTGGTTCAAAGGCAGAGTCATCACTGATGTGAACACTGCAGTTCTTCACCTGAAGACAAGAGAAGAGCAGAAAACAGCAAAGGTTGATAAATCTGAGGAAGCCACGCACCGGTCAGGCTGTACTTCCCAGTGCAGGGCTTACCATCCCAGTGCTGTCCATCCTGCAGAAAACCCTTCTATTTCTAAGGCTGCTACTTCAGTGTGGACAAACCACACATGATGAGACACAGCAGCAAAGTCATCTCTTTGCACAAACCCACAGCTCTCTGTTACAACAATCCTGACCCTGCCGACACACAGGATTTGCATTTCGTGATTTAAGCAGTTTGAAACAAACCACCCCTTCAGAGTCAGGTCCTGTGCCCAGGACCAGAAGAATTTGTGACACCTATGAAACCAGTCTGGACAGGCTCTGTCACCTCCCTCTGACAACAGAGTGGAGGAGGAGATCTGAACCTCTCCCAGCAGTGGTTGTCCATTGCCCCACACCCCGGGTTCAGCTCACCTTCTCCCCTTTCAAGAAGGTGATGCGAGACTCCTCCGCATTCCCCCTCTCCACAAAGTCCTCCATGACCTGTGCTGTCTGGCTCTGAGTGTAGCACCTGACAGAGGACTCATAGCTCAGGTCCCCCGTGCGGAAGATGGGGATGTGCAGGGTCCCCTCCTTCTCCTTGGCTGTGTACGTGTCCTTGGTGAACTGCATGCTGGGCACTGCAGGGAGGCATAAACACAGCCAAGCAGTGCTGAAGTTCCACAGAGGAAGAGCCAAGAGGTAGGACGGGCTGGATAGAGCTGCCAGGGATAACTTACCATCTTGGAAGATGTCGTTAATGGCCACGATAGCTTGGAATGGCTTTGCCAGCTCAGCCCCGTGGGGTGAGCTGAGATAAACAACAAATGTCTCCAGCCCTTCTATCACTGGGTACTGTGCATCATCCAGGATTGTCAGGGGGCAGAACTGGGGGGAAAGCACAAGTCCTGATGTTAGAGGTGCAAAGCTTTGGTCCTTCCCATACCACTCACATTTGGGGGTCTCATCTAAAGCCATTATGTCAGGGTGTTTCTGAATCCACTGATCAATGGAAGGAATGTTCTAGATAAATCCAGCATGTCATCTCAGAGAACAGGCAGCCATCACCATCCTGGGAGAGGTGGCCTGAGTGAAACTCCTCTGGCTGGAGCGCAGATGGGACGGGAGTCTGTGACTAGCACTCCTTAACAATTCCCCAGTGACACCGAGAGGCCTTTCAAACCAAATGGCAGATATGCACAGAAAAACAGGACAAGTGTCACCAGACAGAGCAGACTCATCAGGAGTCCAAGTGGCTCCTCACCTCTTCTGTCTTGCCTGGCCTGAACTCAATTTTCCTGGAGCTGGGGACGTAATCGACCCCTGGGCTGGCAGAGGGAGGGTCTGATGTGCGAGTGGCACACCACACCGAGGTGGGGGCTGAGAGGTCGGGTCCCTGCCGGAGCACTGGGATCTCAATGTTTCCTACAGTTGCACAGGAGAGAGAACAAGATGAGAAAGCAGCAGTGTACATACCACAAACCACCTCCTTTCCCTTCAGCACACCCTTCTCCACTGTTCCTGCCCCTCTGGGGGCAGAACCCCTCCACACGTCTGGGCCCTGAATCGCTCCTTCCACCACCTCTTCCTGGTGAAATTTTTCATGGAGAGCACTCCAGTGCTCTGGAGGAGTCCCCCCACCCTCACCTGCAGCCTCGCTGACGGTGAAGGTGGCGTTGCCCAGGAACACGGTGGAGGCGGCGTTGGGCCCGCCGATGACCCCGGGGCGCGCCTGCCGATGCGGGCGTTGTCTGAGGCATCGGCCAGCACGACCTCAAACTCCTCCTCCCCTTCGTATTCACTGTCATCGACCAGCATGACATCACAGGTCATCAGGGTGACTCCAGGCCCGAACACGACGCGGTTCTCGTCCGCCAGGCCCCGGGACTTGAAGTCGGATCCGGATTCCAGCGTGAACAGGCTGCTCCCCCGCGCTGACTTGGGGACCGTGTAGCAGATGGCAGACACAGTGCTGCTGGGGTCCCCTAGGAAGCAACAGAAACTCCCTATGAGTCCATGGGTTGTAGACTCTGTTCACCTAAACAATAAAGCAGCATTCAGAAAAG